AGGCTTTGGGCCATCCTCGAATGCTTTCCCAGGCCACAAGCAGGGAGCTGGATGGGAAGTGGAGCAGCTGCGATATGATCTGGCCTCCTCCAGTATGGGATCCTGGCAGTTGCAAGGTGAGGATTTAGCCACTAGTCTGTCATTCTGGGCCCTTTTTGTGCTTTTAAAGATTTACTTATTTGGTCCTGGTGCAATAGTCTTGTGGTTACATCTTAATCTTGCACACACTAGGATCCCATATGAATACCAGTTTGTGTACTGGCTGCTCCACTTCCTAACCAGTTCCCTGCTTGTGGCCTGGGAAAGCAGTCGAGGATGGCACAAAGCCTTGGGACCCTGCACCTGCGTGGGAGACTCGGAAGAAACTCCTGGCTCCTGGCTTAGGATTGGCTCAGTTCTGCCTGTTGTGACCACTTGGGAGTGAACCAGAGGGTAGAAGGTCATTCCCTCTGTCTCTCCTCTTTGTAAATCTGCATTACAAATGAAAAAATAATAAATACTTTTTTACATAAAAAGATTTATTTGAAAGAGTTGTAGAGAGAGGTTCACTCTCAACAGGCCGCAGTGGCTGGAGAAGCTAGGAGGTTTTTGGGATGTCTCGCTTGAGTACAGGAACCCAAGTACTGGGACCATTTTCTGCTGCTTTCCTAGGTGCGTTAGCAGGGGACTAAGGAAGTGGAGCAACCAGGAATTGAACCAGCACCGTGCATGCAGGGTGCCGGCACTGCAGGCAGCAGCTTTACTCACTGTGTCACAATGCCAGCCCCTGCGAGATGAGTTTATTTTTAAAAGGATTGATTTATTTTTATTGAAAGGCAGATTTACAGAGAGAAGGAGAGACAGAGAGAAAGATCTTCTGTTCGCTGGTTCACTCCCTAAGTGGCGCAATGACCAGAGCTGAGCTGATCCGAAGCCAGGATCCAGGAGCCAGAAACTTCTTCTGGGTCTCCCATGCAGGTGCATGGTCCCAAGGCTTTGGGCTATCTTCTGCTGCTTTCTCTGGCCACAGGCAGGGAGCCGGATGGGAAGTGCAGTAGCTGGGACATGCACCCGCACCCAAACGGGATCCCTGCAGTTCAAGGCAAGGATTTAGTCACTAGGCTACAATGCTGGGCCCGCAAGATGACCTTTTTTTTGTTGTTGTTTTGTTTTTTAAAAGATTTATTTTGTTTTTTATTGGAAAGGAGGATATACACAGAGGAGAGACAGAGAGGAAGATCTGTCTGGTGATTCACTCCCCAGGTGGCCGCAACAGCCGATGCTATGCTGGTCCAAAGCCAGGAGCCTCTTCCGGGTCTCCCACACAGGTTTAGAGTCCCAAAGCCTTGGGCCATCCTCGACTGCTTTCCCGGGCCACAAGCAGGGAGCTGGATGGGAAGCAGGGCCGCCGGGATTAGAACCGGCGCCCATATGGGATCCCGGGTATGCAAGGCAAGGACCTTAAGCACCGCGCCATCGCGCCGGGCCCCAAGATGACCTTTTAAAGTGAGTTTTGAAGATTGCCTTTGCAGGCAGGCTCAGTGGGCCACTTTGGCGCTTGCAGTCCATTCTGTGCAGCTAGGCCTGTGGCTACAGTAAATGGACAAACTGCAAACGCATTTCCCAGGACAACGTTCTAAAGAGGATGACGCACCTTGGGCCAGAGCCTGGGCGCGCATGCGTGATGATTTGTCGGAGCCAGGGCCTCTGGCTACGAGTAACGAGGATCCTTTTAGAGGAGCAGTTCTCAGCTCGGCTGCCGTAGGGTTAGCCTGCGCATCAGCCGAGAGAATACCACGAGTGACAAAGGGATGGAGCTGGACACGAGGAGCTGGTGAGCTCTGGGCCCAGGGTTCACCACAGATGGCACTGCACTGCCTGGCTCTGCCCGTCTGTGTGCTTCTGGCTAACCCCAGCAGCACCAGCACTGTTGACTCTTCCAGAAGCCAGGGAGAGCGCCCATAGGACCCCATCGGCGGGGCATGGCCTCTGGCTGGCCTGGGGCAGGTGGGACTGTTAAACACTTAAATGCTTGCAGAGTGAACGAATACTGAGAAAGAGAATTTTCTAACTGTGATAAAGAGAAATTGAAATGAGGGTGCTCCATGTAGTTCACAGGTCAGTTGAACTCATGAAAGGCCTACACTGGCCGGGGACGTGTTCTGCAGGTGCCGGGGCCAGGGCAGGTGTCACACTCAGTTTCTGATTTCTCAGAGTTGGCATGGACAGCAGGACAGCAAGGAGCTGCTCATACACAGTGGGGCTTAAAAGCCACCAGGATGAGAGGAGCTGAGCTGTGGCTGGAGTTGGGGTGGCGGGGCGGACAGCCCTGAAGCGCAGCAGCATGGATCGGAAGCTGAGAGCTGGGGGTTTGATTCTGCCTTGGCCTCCTTGAGCTCTGTGCACTGATTGGCTGGCATGCTGCAGGACCAGCTTTGGGGCTGGTCACTGTTACAGGGGGAGTCCTGCAGGAGGTTCTGATGAGTGGCCCCAGCCAGGGCTCCCCAAGCCTCCCACACCAGGAGCGAGAAGGGAGCGGGCAGTCCAGCTGGTCGGCTGTGAAACGCCTGTCTTCCTAGGTCAGTGTCAGTGGTTTCAGCATCTTCTCCTTGAGCCTTTGGCTTTCAAAGTTGATCCTTGGATGCGAGAGAACCACACGGCTACTTGTTTCTTTGCTCCTTAAATATGAGTGTGCCTGGGTTCCCTCGTGTTTGTGGATCTCTGAACGTCTTCACAGTTCTTTGCAAAGGGGGCACGTTGATGATGCTACAAGCCTGAAGGGTGCCTCTTCCAGCTTCGGCTCTTCTCGGAAGAGCAGCTCTGAGCTGCCAAGAGAACAGTGCGTGGCTTGCCTTGCTCTGCTGTGTGGGCAGTTTCCTGACTTCTGTTCTCACTTCTTCTATGTTGAATTTTTAATTTCCACTGCCGTATTTTCGATTTCCAGGAGGTTGGCCCTGGTCTTCAATCTTTTAAAATAGCATCCTGCTCTTTTGTGCTTGGGGTTTCTCTGTCGGGAATTGCTCAGCTGAGGGCTTCTTTGTAAAAGATGAAAACACACATTGGCTGCTCTGCGTGCTTTCGGCCGGGGCTGGGGGCGGGGGGGGGGGGGGGGGGGGGCTTTTCCTCAGGGGTCCCAAATAGGAAGTGCTTCCACTTGGTGGTAAGCACTTGGTGCTTCCACTTGGTGGTTCCACGAGGTCCTTGGTGAATGCAATGACACAGTGTTGAGTGTGTGTGCACAGGTTTTTGATGAATGTTTATTTACCCATGGCGTGGGAGGGGTGTCTGCAAAGAGTTGGTAGAAAAATGCATGAAAGGAAAAAAAAAAACTGCATAGGTTTTAACCTCTTCTTGAACCCAAATAAACTTACCTTTTCATCCCATTTGCTGGCTGGTTGTTTTTCCCAGAGAGGAACTTGCTGGTTCTGCTCATGTGGGCCACACTCGGCTCCTTCCTTCACTGTCCCTGCTGTCCCCAGGTCCAGCAGCTTCCCTGGAGGCCACATCTTCATCTCCTCCTGGACTTCAGGCCTTGCGGTCTTCTGAGTCTGTGACCACGGCCCCCCCAGGAACAGTCTTGGGGTAGCCTCTCCTGCAGCCTGGTGGCCTTGTCCTCTAGTTCCTGCTGTTTCCTGTGCTGCTCCGGCCACAGCTGGTTTCTGCCCGTGGGCTCCCCTGCCCGCTGGCACTTGGGTCTCAGCTGCTGCTTTCCCTGGCACCACTCATCCTCCAGGATTTTCTTACTATCATTTGGGTTATCTTTTCTATCTCTTTGGCTGCGTGCCTTTAAATTCGTGAGCCATTACATAAACCATTTATTTGCTTACTTGAAAAGCATACAGAGAGATGGAGAGAGGGACTTCTATCCGCCATTTCATTCCCCAGTTATCCCAGTTGGTGCCAGGAGCCTAAACTCTATCCAGCTCTCCCGTGTGGGGGCAGGGGCCAGGTGCTTAGGACATGATCTGCTGCTTTATGTGCACATTCGTAGGGAGCAGGATTGGAAGTGGAGCAACTGGGACTCGAACCAGCGCCTTGATGTGGAATGTTGGTGTCACAAGCATCAGCTTAACACTGGCTCCGCTGAAACCGTCTTATCAGGGAGTGACTGTGAAGACACGTACTGTAGTCAGCTTGCGTATTTCGATTCCAGTGTGTAACTGGACCCATGCCTAAATAGCATGAAGAAGTTAGTTAACAGAGAAATGTCCAAGAGGGCCAGGCAACCAGGCAGAACCAGAGCTGATTATCCAGCTGTCAGTTCCCAGGGGAGCGTGTGAGACCTGTTGAAATTTGCACTCATACATCTGCTTTGTGACACCTAGCAAAATAGACTATGCTTTTCTTGGATGCTAAGTGTTTGAACAAAGTCATATCTATTTGTACCAACACGATGTGGCATACCACCTTACTTCTTCTCTTGGGCGTCTCCTGAGATGTCTAAGTCTTTAGAAATACGTGTGTTGTGAACTCTAGCGCAGTGGCATAGTGGGTAAAGCCACCACCTGCGGCAGCAGCATCCTATACGGGCGCTGGTTTGAGTCTCTGCTACTCCGCTTCCAATCTGGCTCCCCGCTAACACCCCTGGGAGAGCAGTGCAAGATTGCCAAAGCCCACATGGGAGACCCAGAATAAGCCTACGGCTCCTGGCTTCAGACCAGCCTGGCTCCACCCGCTGAGCAGGAATGAACCCTTGGGTGAAAGATCTCTCTGTATAACTCTGCCTTTCGAGTAAATAAGGAACTTTAAAAAAGTATGCATGTTGTGAGCATGTTTGTTGTAGCTTGATTATTTTTTCAAAGAGAGAGGTGTGGGGATGGGTGTTGGGGAGAATCTGCCATTTGCTAGTTCTCTTCCCCAAATGCTTGCAACAACTGAAAGGGAATACCCGTCCCCCACTGCGCCCCCCCCCCCGGTCCCATTGCCAGAAGGAGGCCTCTTGGTCCCCCACCCTCTGCTAGGCTGCCACCAGGTGGGTGTGCACCCCTGGTCCTCATTGCCATGTCTGCCTTCTTTTCTAGGACACCGGGGTTGGGAAATCGAGCATCGTGTGCCGGTTTGTGCAGGATCACTTTGACCACAACATCAGCCCCACCATTGGGTGAGTTCCTGAGGGCTGGGCCCCGCCCCACAGGGCACACAGCAGGCTGCCTGGGGCCGCAGTTTCGTCCCTGCCAATGAGCGTGCCTCAAGTGAAGCTCATAGCCCTCTGGGGGCTTCCAAGTTGCCTGCCCAGCCGTTCATGCCCAGGCTGATTTGTTCTCCCAGCCGGGCTGTTTCCGCCTGTAGCCCGAGATGATAGGCAAAGAACAGAACTCAAAATCATAACATAATAATACCTGGAGATAGTGAGTATAGAGAAACATAGGGACAATTTCTGTTTAAAGACTCATTTATTTTTATTGGGAAGGCGGATATACAGAGAGGAGGAGAGACAGAGAGAGAGATCTTCCATCTGATGATTCACTCCCAACGTGACCACAATGGCTGGAGCTGAGCCAATCCAGGAGCCAGGAGCATTTCCAGGTCTCCCACGCGGGTGCAGGGTCCCAAGGCTTTAGGTCAGATTGGTCCAGGTCCTCCATGTCGGTGATAGGGACCCGAGCATTCGAGCTGTTCTCTGCTGCTTTTCCCAGGCCTTGAGCAAGCAGCTGCACTGAGAGTGGAGCCCTTGGGACAGGAACGGTGGCTCCTCTGGACGCAGCACTTAGAATGTGCTGTGCTGTGCCACCGTGCTTCCGATTGCGTTTCTCACCTCTCCCCTGCAGGGGGAGTTCAGCTGCTGCTTCTTACTTATACAAGAGAGTTGAACTTTATGAAATGGCTCTATGCGGGCCTGTGCAGTAGCCTAGCAGGTAAGGTCCTTGCCTTGCGTGCACTAGGATCCCATATGGATGCTGGTTCTGTTCCTTGTAGCCTCACTTCCCATCCAGCTCCCTGCTGTGGCCTGGGGAAGCAGTCAAGAATGGCGCAAAGCCGTGTGGGAGACATGGAAGAGGCTCCTGACTCCTGACTTCGGATCGGCACAGCTCTGGCCATTGTGGCTGCTTGTGGAGTGAATCTCTGTCTCTCCTCCTATCTGTATATCTGACTTTACAATAAAATTAAATGAATCTTTTTTAAAAGATGAAATGGCTCTATGCCTCCCTGGAACACTAAGAACATGTTCCCAGAGACTGATATTGTGGCCTAACGGAGTAAGCCCTTGCCTGAGCTTCTGGCATCCCACGTGGGAGCCGGTTCAAGTCCTGGCTGCTCCACTTCTGATCCAGCTCTCTGCTAATGTGTCTGGGAAAGCAGTAGAGGATGGGCCAGATCTTTGGGTCCCTGCACGTGCGAAGGAGATGCAAAAAAAGCTCCTGGCTTTGGCCCCGCTCTGGAGTGATCTGATGCATAGAAGATCTCTTTCTCTCTCTGAAACTCTTTTACACAAATAAATGAGTCTGTAGAGAAAGAGAGACCATGTTTTCCAGCCCAAGTTTCAGACAAGGAAACCTAGGAGGAAGCCCTTCCAGCTGGACGCGCAGGTTCCTGGGAAGGCGGGTCAGTGGGGGATACTGCCAAGCTGGAGGACAGATACTGGAGCAGGAGGCTGCCGTAGGACATCTGCCTGTGCTTTGTCCCGCCTTCACGATGCTGTAGCATGCAGAAGCAGAGATGAGCGATCAGGAACCTTCTGGATAATGAACTTGCCTTTCTGGTTGGGTGCATGTGCCCTGAGCAGGCTCTCTGTACTTCTGGTCGTCCCCTTACTGTTCCCTCACACTGCTCCGAGCTGTGCCACTCGGGGAGCTGTCCTGCCTGGTTCCGGTCCATGTTCCTGGCCCGTTGCAAGGATTCACGCTCCCCTCCCACCTCTCTCCAAGACCCAACAACGGTCAGTGATCTGCGTAGGCTCCTACACCCAGCACCTCACAACCTAAGGACTCAAACTGAGGGTGGCCAATGTCCCAATGTGCGTGCCACTGTGCTCTCCCAGCCCCTGGAACCATGTCACCCTTGGGAGAAAGGCAAAGGCTGTTAAACGCCATCATCTCAACACATATGTGTTCACACTTCTCTGTGGCTCGCTCTGAGAGTCTTGGCTTGGCTGTCCTAGCAGATTGTGTTGATGGCTGGAACATGGTATGTGTACGCATGCCTCTGTGTGTGTGTGTACACGTGCCTCTGTGTGTGTGTGTGTGTACTCATGCCTCTGTGTGTGTGTGTACGCATGCCTCTGTGTGTGTACTCATGCCTCTGTGTGTGTGTGTGTACGCATGCCTCTGTGTGTGTGTACGCATGCCTCTGTGTGTGTGTACTCATGCCTCTGTGTGTGTACGCATGCCTCTGTGTGTATACGCATGCCTCTGTGTGTGTGTACTCATGCCTCTGTGTGTGTGTACACATGCCTCTGTGTGTATACGCATGCCTCTGTGTGTGTGTACTCATGCCTCTGTGTGTGTGTACTCATGCCTCTGTGTGTATACGCATGCCTCTGTGTGTGTGTACTCATGCCTCTGTGTGTGTGTACGCATGCCTCTGTGTGTGTGTACACATGCCTCTGTGTGTGTGTGTGTACACATGCCTCTGTGTGTGTGTGCACGTGCCTCTGTGTGTGTGTACACATGCCTCTGTGTGTGTGCACGTGCCTCTGTGTGTGTGTACGCGTGCCTCTGTGTGTGTACGCATGCCTCTGTGTGTGTGTGCACGTGCCTCTGTGTGTGTGTGCACGTGCCTCTGTGTGTGTGTGCACGTGCCTCTGTGTGTGTGTACGCATGCCTCTGTGTGTGTATGCATGCCTCTGTGTGTGTACGCATGCCTCTGTGTGTGTACGCATGCCTCTGTGTGTGTTTACACATGCCTCTGTGTGTGTGCACATGCCTCTGTGTGTGTATGCATGCCTCTGTGTGTGTGTACTCATGCCTCTGTGTGTGTGTACTCATGCCTCTGTGTGTGTGTGCATGTGCCTCTGTGTGTGTGTACGCATGCCTCTGTGTGTGTACGCATGCCTCTGTGTGTGTTTACACATGCCTCTGTGTGTGTGCACATGCCTCTGTGTGTGTACGCATGCCTTTGTGTGTGTGTGTACTCATGCCTCTGTGTGTGTGTGTACTCATGCCTCTGTGTGTGTGTACGCATGCCTCTGTGTGTGTGTGTACACATGCCTCTGTGTGTGTATGCATGCCTCTGTGTGTGTACACATGCCTCTGTGTGTGTGTGTACGCATGCCTCTGTGTGTGTATGCATGCCTCTGTGTGTGTGTACTCATGCCTCTGTGTGTGTACACATGCCTCTGTGTGTGTGTGTGCACGTGCCTCTGTGTGTGTGTGTACTCATGCCTCTGTGTGTGTGTACGCATGCCTCTGTGTGTGTGTGCACATGCCTCTGTGTGTGTGTACGCATGCCTCTGTGTGTGTACGCATGCCTCTGTGTGTGTGCGCATGCCTCTGTGTGTGTGTGTACGCATGCCTCTGTGTGTGTGTGTACGCATGCCTCTGTGTGTGTGTACTCATGCCTCTGTGTGTATACGCATGCCTCTGTGTGTGTGTACTCATGCCTCTGTGTGTGTACGCATGCCTCTGTGTGTGTACGCATGCCTCTGTGTGTGTGTACACATGCCTCTGTGTGTGTGTGCACGTGCCTCTGTGTGTGTGTACGCATGCCTCTGTGTGTGTACGCATGCCTCTGTGTGTGTGTACGCATGCCTCTGTGTGTGTACGCATGCCTCTGTGTGTGTGTACTCATGCCTCTGTGTGTGTGTACTCATGCCTCTGTGTGTATACGCATGCCTCTGTGTGTGTGTGTACGCATGCCTCTGTGTGTGTGTACGCATGCCTCTGTGTGTGTGTGTACTCATGCCTCTGTGTGTGTATGCACGTGCCTCTGTGTGTGTGTACGCATGCCTCTGTGTGTGTGTGTACGCATGCCTCTGTGTGTGTGTGTACTCATGCCTCTGTGTGTGTATGCACGTGCCTCTGTGTGTGTGTACGCATGCCTCTGTGTGTGTGTGTATGCATGCCTCTGTGTGTGTACGCATGCCTCTGTGTGTGTGTACACATGCCTCTGTGTGTATACGCATGCCTCTGTGTGTGTGTACTCATGCCTCTGTGTGTGTGTACGCATGCCTCTGTGTGTGTACACATGCCTCTGTGTGTGTGTGCACGTGCCTCTGTGTGTGTGTACGCATGCCTCTGTGTGTGTACGCATGCCTCTGTGTGTGTGTACTCATGCCTCTGTGTGTATACGCATGCCTCTGTGTGTGTGTACTCATGCCTCTGTGTGTGTGTACTCATGCCTCTGTGTGTATACGCATGCCTCTGTGTGTGTGTGTACGCATGCCTCTGTGTGTGTGTACGCATGCCTCTGTGTGTGTGTGTACTCATGCCTCTGTGTGTGTATGCACGTGCCTCTGTGTGTGTGTACGCATGCCTCTGTGTGTGTGTGTACGCATGCCTCTGTGTGTGTACGCATGCCTCTGTGTGTGTGTGTACACATGCCTCTGTGTGTGTGCACATGCCTCTGTGTGTGTGCGCATGCCTCTGTGTGTGTACTCATGCCTCTGTGTGTCTACTCATGCCTTTGTGTGTGTGTGTACGCATGCCTCTGTGTGTGTACGCATGCCTCTGTGTGTGTGTGTGTACGCATGCCTCTGTGTGTGTATGCATGCCTCTGTGTGTGTACTCATGCCTCTGTGTGTGTGCGCATGCCTCTGTGTGTGTGCACATGCCTCTGTGTGTGTCTTGTGTATGTGTGTGTGGGTCTGTGTGTGTGAGTCCCTTTCTGTTTCCACCTCTAGCAGAAGTTGTATTTTCCTCTGCCAGCCCGAACTGTCCACAGATCAAGGAGTCAGTTCAGTGTTGCCCATGTGCCTCCTCCTCTCGAAGGAGTCCTGGATGGGACAAGCTGGCCAAGAGGCCTGAGAGCAAAGGCCCACAGAGACAGCACCCCGTCCAGCCAGGGAGCAGAGATGGCCGTGGTCATGGGCCTTGGTAGATGGGACATCAGGATCAGGAATATGGCAGTGTGTGTATCTCCGATGTTAGGTGTGTGTGTGTGAATCCCTACATGTATGTCCGTTTCTTCCAATCTCTGTTTGTGTGTGTGTGGGGGGTGGTTATC